AAAAAAAAAAAAAAAAAAAAAAAAAAAAAAAAATTGGATGTTATATCATTATTGTTTAATAATTATATATATAACATGATTCGTCCAGCGAGTAATAATAAAAATATAAAGAAAAAGTAAGAAAGAAAAAAAATTTATAGTTAGAAAAAAAAAAAATCTTGGCGATGATGAAATAATGGTGGTAATGGATATCTTGATAGATAGATATATATACCGTATATATATATATATATATATATATATATACATTAATATATAACTCAATCAATTTTAAAAAAATCGGAAAAAATCGGAAGCAATATATAATGGATTACGGATGATTATCGTGAATAATTTTTTTTTATAATTTCCGGTAATTCCGGTAGATTTATTCTAATACTTTTGCTGAAAAAGGTTCAACATTAAGATATGTGAGACCAAACTGAGCCATTGTCAACCCAAACAGTCATACTTTACCAATCCGAAATCTACCGACTTTAAAATTATTAGTTATGACTAATAAAAAAAGAAAGGGGAAAAGGAAGGCCGATTATCATTAAATTGATTGTCCGCAGCAGGAAATATTTTTTATAAATATTTCCGTTCTCATATATATATATATATATTTTGGTAAAAAAAAAAAGGGCACAAAAACCACAAAAAAACCACAAAAAATCACAAAAACCATAAAAACGGTATAAAGAATAAAGAAAGAAAAGATTTTCATAAAAATATCAAAAATATCGAATAAACCAATTAATACAATTAATACAATTTAATACAATTATATGAAATTATATGCACACAATATTACCAATAATAGTTTATCTGCGCAGTAGAAATTTCGGAGAAAGTAAAAAAGAAAAAAAAAATATTTTCGATTATGCACTTTATCAAACAAGTTTATCAATAACGATATCAAGATAGAAAAAGATAAATTTCAGATAATGAATTCAATAATTGATAATTTGATATTCAAGATAAACCACAAAAATTCCAAAAATTCACAAATTTATCACAAATAATATTTTTTTTACCCCGCAGAAAATGATCACTTAATTTGGATGACATTGAATGATAAGCATCAAAAAAATAATAGATTACCAAAAGTGAACATAATACTATATTGGTTTATATTTTAGTTTTTTTATATTTAGATTTTTTATTACTTTTATGAGTTGTATATATTAATTACCAAACTAGTATTCTCGGAGTTTGAACAAACATAATGTAACATAAACATAACGCAATCTACAATACGCATGCGGTATCTTCATAGTAATGTTTTTTATTTTAGCGCCCAAATAAAGAGTTTGGGGGAGAGAAAAAGAAAAAAAGAGAAAAAACAATAACACAAAGAAAGAGGCAAAAACTCAAGATTTCACGGATTTCACGGATTTCACGTGATTTTATCATAAAAATGGGTTCAAGATAAGATCTTCGGTTATTTTATGCATTTTAATGTTGCTTATCAAAAGTATCAAACGTAACGCTAATCAATGGTATCTATTCAATGATATTGTTGTTTTTTTTTTCTCTCGCACACACATTATTAAAAATATAGAACAACTTGTAATAAAACTTGAACGGTAATATCCCTAACCTTAATTAATTTAAGTAATACTTTTTATAAATACTAAACCTTTTCAAGGAAAATCTCACTTCATATAAAAATGCAATACGAAAATCTTTAATAATTGGGATCGAATAAAAGAAGAAGAAAATGAGAATCATAATATTTTTTATAATATTATTATATTTATATGATCGGTTATAATCATAAAATATGCATAATTATATATTTTATTAAAGAATGCTTTTTTAATGCTTTTTTAATGCTTGTTCGTACGATCGTACGAATAAAATGAGGTGAACCCGTACCAAAACATTATCGTATGATATTAATACTATATTTTTACTATGAAAAAAAAAAAACCTATAATAATATAAATCATATATTTTTTGAATCATTTGATAAATTTCCCTTAAAAAAAGACTTTGGATTGATTTTAACTAGTTTTAAACTTTATTTTATTTGATTTTAACTAATAAAAGGAAAAATTGTTTAAAATATAAAATAATAATTATATTTTTTTATCTTTTGAATTTTAAGAGACCAAATTAAGACAACTATCAAAAAAAATAATTCTATACTCGAATAAATTTAATTAATTTATTTGTTACCGAGTTAAAAATGATTACCTTAATAAAGTAACCAACTTTTTAAAAATTTATGCATTGTTACAAATATGGACGTAAAAAATATCCTTGGTTCAAAAAACCATAATCCAAAATTAGTTTAAATCTTCTTCCGGTCTTATCCGACTTTCATGAAATAACGTCGGATTAAAGAATGATTAACCTAAATTAGTTAGTATTATCAAATGGGTTATGTGAATATTTAAAAAGGTTTTGAAAGAAAAAAGGTTATATTGTTTTAAGTATGAATTATTTGACTCAGGATAAATTTTGGGATGAATCTTTTTTTTTTTTTTTTTTG